TTTGATTGCAAGTAACAGAAGCCACTTCAGCAACCTAAACCAAAAGGGCCTTCACTATGAAGTCCAAAGATGAGAAGGCAGGCGGGGTGACGGGACTCAGGGCCAAGGGGAAACCAACTCTGCAGGAAATCCAGATTACACCTGTAATTCCCGCCACTCAGGAGACTGAGGCAGAAGGATCAAGTTCCAGGCCAGCCTGGAAAATTCAGCAATTCCTTGACTCAAAATAAAATTTTTAAAGGGCTGGACATGTAGCCCAGTAGTGGAGCACTTTGCCTTGTGTTCATGAGACCCTAGTTTCTATCCCCAGCACCACACTCGCACACCCACAGACACACAAAGCCTATTCCAGCTGCTTATGTGAATTATGAATAAGACTAAAATTTCCAAATTTAAATATAATAAATGTCAATTTTGCCTAACTTTTCATAAATTATTTTAATTTTGCTTAAAAGCACATAATCTTAGAAGTGAACCTACTTGACCTTCCCTATTCATTTGAACATTTGGCAACTTTCATTGACCGCCAGCTATATACCTCACACTATGCTAACTGTCGGGTCCACAAAGAAGAAAATAGAAGGTCCCTGCTCCCTGATACCTCAGAGCAGCTGGGGAGGCTGAGAATATATACTCCTACATCATGGTCTAATGGGTGTTGCCATATGAGTGTGGAATGTGAAGCACAAAGTGAAGTCATAAATGGCCAGGGGCAGGAGGCAGGCAGGGATGTGACAGAAGGCGTCCTGAAAGAACTACTGAGCTCAGCCAGAGAACAAGGCACGGTTGGATAGACCAGGACAGGAGACACAGGGCCTTCCTCCTAGTGGGACTAGATACTTAAACGTGGGGTTAAAACTCATGCCCAGTGCTCAGGGGCCAGCAGTTCTATTGCACAGTAATAAAACTGCTCCTTCCAAAAGTAGCCAGGGATAGAGGGTGATTCCATGGAGGTTGAGAGAGATACAAGTGAGTTTTTCTATAATGGTAGGAACTTTAGTATTTAAAAAATTGTCAAGAAAGATAATAAAGTGATCCAACATCCACTGGAGTGATGGAATCCCAGAAAAGTAAATAAAATGCATCATAAATGAAGCCGAGACATCTTGCCTGAGGAAAAAAAATGTGGGTGGAAACAGTAAGTAACATTTGTTGAGTGATTGCTAATGACATGCTTCAAGTTTACACACGTTGACTTACTTCTGCAGATCACAACTCTGTGAGGTAGATTCTATGATTATTCTGTCTCAAAGGGTTTCCCTCAGTAAGGTCTCCACCATCTTCCACCTATTCTACATTTATCACCATCTAAGACACTCTGTATTTTATTGACTTATGATTATTTTAAAATTCTCTCTCTCAATAGAATGGTGTGTTGATCCTCTTGTGTTACTTTACCTGAGAAAAACAACTTGGAAGAAGAAAGACTTATTTTGGTTCACAGTTTCATGGATTTAGGTACTTAGTCAGCTGAGTCCAAGGCAGAAACATTATGGAGAAAGGGTGTGGTAGATAAAAGCATCTCTCCTCATGGTGATAATCAGAGAGAAACAAGAGGAGTGAGTTGTCCTATAACTGTAGGAACTCTAGTATTTAACATTTTGTCATGAAAGACAGCAAAGGGATCTAACATGTACTGGAGGGGTGGAATTTCAGGAAAGTAAATAAAAGGTATCATAAATGGAGCAGACACCTTGCTTGAGAGAAAGGATGGAAGTGGAGAGAAATAGAGGAGTGGGGGAAGGGACCAGGAACAAGATATAGTCCCAAGAGCTCTGCCAGTGAACTACTTCTTCCAACCATGACCCCCTTGCCTACCTTTTCTCCTCCTCCCAGTAGTCCATTCAAATTATTAATCCATCAAGTGAATTAGTCTACTGATTAAATTAGAGCCCTCCCAATCTAGTCACTTTCCCAAAGTCCCACCTCTGGACATTGCTGCATTGGGGACCAACCTTCAATTCATGAGCTCTTGGGGGAATATTCCAGATTCAAAAGATAACAAGTAGACATTCCTTAAAGTCAGAGTTTTGTTTTGTTTATTGCTGCATTCCCAGCACTTAGGAAATATAAAACTAATTGGAATTCAATAAGTACTGGTGAGTAAATGAATGATAATAACTGAGATACACAGTGATTAAGAATTCCAGTTAAAACAAATAGCCTGGCAGTGGCAAGGCCTGCAAGCAACAGTGTGAGCAGTTACGAGGACTTTGTGATGAGATTCTGAGCTCACCGAGAGGCGCGACAGAATTGAGGGTGGAGGGAATGAGCCATCGGCCTGGTAAGAGGAGGTTTAACAGCACACTGATTCCCTTGTATTATTCACTAGACAAGTCGACAATATTTACTGAGCTCCTATCATGGGGGGAAACAATGGTGGGCAAGGCAGAAGACGCTGGAATTGCATCAGAAGGGGGGGGGGAGACAGAAATAGAAAAGGAAGCAAATGAATACAAAGAATAATTTCAGGGATAAACTCTGTGATAATTACAGACCAGGGCAATGTACTAGAGAGTAACTAATGGGGGCAGAGCATCATATAGGTCTTCAGGGAGAGTGTCTTTGAGAAAGTATCCCCTATCCAAAATACTTGGGACCAGAAGTAACCTGGATTTTGGAATATTTGCATATACATAATGATATCTCTTGGGGAAGGGACCCAAGGATAAATCCAAAATTCACTTTTATCTCCCATGTAACTTACACACATAGCTTAAGGTAATAGTATACAATATTTTCAGTGTATTTCTGTTTTGATGCAACCTATCACAGGAGGTCAGGTGTGGAATTTTCCACTTGTGGCATCCCTTCCAGGATCGGGTTCCAGATTTGGGAATGTTTGGGATTTCAGATAAGCCAGGAGCCTAACCAGAAAAGACCTTGCTTCTTCCAGGGTGATCATTAGAAGGGCAGAAGCAAAGGGTGCTTCACAGAAGGACAGGAGGGTGGGTAAGGAGAAGGGACTCCTCATTATGAGTGAATTCTGTCAGCTCAAGTCTGAAAATTCCTTACATACAACCTTAAAATTGCAGCGTGTCCCCAACACAGTTTGCATCCTGACCGCATGTGGACCGGATCTGGGCAGCCATTGGAGGCAGGCACAGCCTCCTAGAAAATCTAGTACAAATAATACTTACCTGGGGTTGCGATCCCCAAACACCAGGGAACAAATGACTCATTGAGAATGGTTTTCAGTTTTGCAGATTACTGGACCCCACCTAGAAATTCCTGTTCATTATGTTGAGGGCGGGGCCCCAAATCTGCATGTGTAGTTCTAGTGGTCCCCCACCAGGACAGGACACACCTGGGGAAATATGGAAGAGACTTCACTACTGTGCTTCAGGGAATCTGGGAACCCCCAGAAATAGAATGAAAAAATATGATTGTTTGAATATATGTTCATTTCTTTCTCTGGGGAGAGGATCAATATCATTGAAGATTCTCACAAACTTGATAAGGAACCCCTTAACAAGTGGTGGGGTGCCTCTGTCTAGTCCTGCTCTTTTTTAGGAATGAGGAAACGGTCCTGGACTGTAAGTGACTCACCTGAGGCCACGAAATTGAAGAAACAGCAGAGATGGGGGTCTTTTTAGAGACCCTCACTCTCTCCTCCTCTCTGCCCTGCTGACTAGAGGGATGGGTAAAAAAAAGAAGGTAAGGGTTTAAGCATTTGAAGACAAAGCTAATTTATTTCCTCAGGCCAGGCTACATTATGGTCTTACCGCTGCCAGGATGCTCTGTCCACGTCCACACTGCCTCTTGGGCTCTCCCAGGCCGATCAAATTTGGTCCACATCCTGCCTCTCTAGTTTGAGGCTGAATCCTTCAGACTCTGGTGGTATCCTAAGTTACAGGATTCATCGGCTCTGCTCACCTTCTTTAAGAAATAACAACTTTCCACCTTGGCCTTTTTCATCTTTTCTTCTATATCATTTTTCCTGTCCTGATAATAGGGCCCCTCCAGTCATGGCCTTACCTGGTCACCACTCCTACCCTGCAACTGCTCTTCAAGGGCTAAATTTATTCCATGTCCAACCCTGACTTCTGCAAGGAACCATGGGACTCACAGCTTGTCTCTGCCTTGGGGGGGGGGGGGCGGCAGTCTATGAAATCTTGTCCTGGGATCCAGTTGGGTGGATCACCTGTTCACCTCCACGCCCTGGTTGGTGGGTTCTGACACTATCATTCCATGTTCTATTAGCCTTGCCAAGTCTTTTTTTTCAGTTTGGTCTGTTTCCTCCCTCCCTTCTGCCCTCCCTCCCTCCCTCCTTCCTTCCTTCTTCTCCTCCTCTTCCTCTCCTACATTCTCCTCCTCCTCTTATCCTTCCCCAGCACTGAGGCCTTCCTTGGCCCTTCCTAACATGGTTTTGCCTGAAAGCAACACTCAGGAATAAAAGTGCCTGAGCCCATTGTGTTGACAGATGCCACCTCTGTGTGGCGCAGATTTCTTCTGGACTCAGATGTCCAGGAAGACCGGGCTATAGGATCCCTCCTGCAGAGCTTGCTGTGGACAGAGGAAAGAAGGCTACTCTGTAATTTTGAAACATTTTGTCTTTAACCGACAAAGAAGGGAGCTCAGAGCTCAGGAAACTTGCCCCAGGTCACAAATTAAATCAGCACAGAGGTACAAGTGAGCACGGAGCCCTCTCTCCGCCTGGAGGTCGTCCAGATGGCTGGGAGGAGGAGGGTCTGAGCCTGCTGCCTTTCAGTCTCAACCCAGACAGCCACGCTGTGGATACTTGGCAGTTACTGGAAAGTTCAGTTAGACTTTCCTGTGGATGCTTTATCCTGGGGACGAGTTGCACAGTGAATTCCTTGTGGAGAATTAATCATTTTCTCTGTTGCCGGTGACTGGAGCTGTTTCTCACGTCCTGCCCCTGGTTTCGCTTGTCCCAAGATTTCATTTGAAGAGCAGGGCGTTTCCTCCACACACTCCACCCCCAGGGTAGCCTGCAATCAGGACCAATGAAAGCAAAGGACCTCATCCTCCGGTGACTAAGAACTGCCAGTATTTAAGAGGTTGCAGGAATGAGCTGGGGAGTGCTTTTGCTTTCTGTACACACGAGGGCTGTCATTTGATTTGGGGATTACCAACCGAAGACAGAGCGGAGAAGGGGGACAGAAACCTCACAGGTTCCAGCCGCCACCATGTGCTATGGCAAGTGCGCCCGATGCATCGGACATTCTCTGGTGTGGCTTGCCGTCCTCTGCATCGTAGCTAATATTTTGCTTTATTTTCCCAATGGGGAAACCAAGTATGCCTCTGATGACCACCTCAGCCGCTTCGTGTGGTTCTTTTCCGGCATCGTGGGAGGGGGCGTGCTGGTAAGTCCTTCCCAATTATCATAAGCTCAGAAATTTCTCTGTTGATCAGAAGTGTTCCTTATTTTCATGGAAAGTTTCTGTCATGCATATTTCCAAGTCTAATGACTTGTTTTGTTCATTCTTTTGAAAACAGATTGCAAAAGGTCAGGGTAGACTTTTATTATTATTAATATTTCACAAATCTTAACTGAAAGTGAACTATTTTGTTGTTGTTGTTGTTGTTGTTGTTGTTGTTAAACTCTTTTACTCTCCAGCTAGGAAACCCATATTCAGTTAACCATGGAGTTTCTGGCACCAGAGTGGGTGGTTAACATTTGCTCTGGGGAGCTTGGAGGGGTTGGCTGGTTAAGTTTACAGTTTGGGATCCAAATTCTCTGCTGTTTATTCTTGGGCATATGTGACAGGGGAAAAACAGTGAATTGAGTACATTGCTATTAAGAAAGAATATAAACTTTCTCCTGAGGTGTGGTGTCTAGAAAAAAAAAATCCTACAGTTAGCAGAACAGAGTCTGAAGTTAATAGTGGAATGTGTTATTTTTTTCCCAAGGTCTGTTTTTATTGAAGTAAAAGGAATTTGCCTGCCAACCTAGGAGCTGAAAGTATTAGCTTCAGCCTCAGCATGGAAAGAATGTGGGCAAACTTGAGTTTGTTACTTCAAAATGCTGGGATTAAGAATTTTAAGGAGAAGTTTTATGCAAGTGTTAATACCATGCAGAATAATTTTTCTTAGTCAAGTAAAAGGCACTAAAAGACATTATAGCTGGCCAAATCTTCTTTGAGTTTAAGCATTATTATCATGCAATCATTAATACAAATTTAATTAATATGAATTAACGGGATCAAAATCTGTAATGTAACATTTTTGCTTTAAACTCCAAATATTTCAAACTCCCCTTATTTTTTTAAAGAGAGAGAGAATTTTAATATTTATTTTTTAGTTTTTGGCGGACACAACATTCTTTGTTTGTATGTGGTGCTGAGGTTCGAACCCGGGCTGCAGCATGGCAGGCGAGCGTGCTACCACTTGAGCCACATCCCCAGCCCCCTCACCTTATTTAATGAGCTTTATTGTTATGCTAAAACAGTACGTTTTGTATCTTCAAAGAACTAGATCATATTTGTTATAGATAGCATTCATCTGTCCCACTTACAAAATAGTTTCAGTTATTCTATTAAGGATTTGTGGGTATCTACTATGTTTTACTAGTGGGGGGGGGAGTCAGACTTTACCACAAGGTTTAAGGTTCCAAAACAGTTTGTGTCTGGAACTGTTATGAACCTTTGTTGAATAAGCACACAGGTTGTATTTTACCCCTCCGTTCTATAGCCTCGCTTGCTCCCCCAGCCCCAGCTGGGGAAGGAACCCAGGTCCTCAATTCGTGAACACACTAGCCATCGGAGCTCCACCCCAGCCCCCTGAAAAGTGCTTTGATGCATCACAGGAAAACCAGCAGATGTTACATTCAGAGTTTGTTTCTCTGACTTTTTCATTCTTTGAGATCCTCAACCTAAAGCCAGTTGACACCATCAGAAGTAAATCCATTTTACTAAAGGATGCTGGGACTGCCCCCATGAACCTGGGAGGACAGTAGTGACTTCCTTTTGCTTCCTGAGCAGATGTTCCTGCCGGCGTTTGTCTTCATCGGGCTGGAGGAGGAAGACTGCTGCGGCTGCTGTGGCCAGGAGAACTGCGGCAAGAGATGCGCGGTAGGTCCTCTGCTGGGCTGGCACGGGGCAGAATCCGTCCGCGGGAGGCCCTGGGGCTCCAAGCCTCACAGCTTTTGTTTCTCCTTCCCTAGATGCTCTCTTCGGTCCTGGCAGCTCTCATCGGAATTGCAGGGTCCGGCTACTGCGTCATCGTGGCAGCTCTGGGCCTCGCGGAAGGACCCCTGTGTCAGGATTACCTCGGCCAGTGGAACTACACCTTTGCCAAAACCGAGGGACAGTACGTAATTGTTCTGTTCACGACGGTCTGTTCTTATTTACCACATACATCAAGGGACAGACCCATCACACTAAGTATCCATTCATCATCCACCCAGCCAGCCTTGATTGACACTGACATGGGCACAGTTCAGGCGACAGGTGTCCTAGGGTGGAGGGCCAGTTACTGACTCGGCCACGTTCTACTTGCTTTTTAATAGATTCACGGATTTTGCCCTCATAATGACCCCTTGGCGTTACTTCCACTATTAATCTTATTTTACAGATGAGAAAAATGAGGCCCAAAAAGGTGGATAACTTATCCAAGGCAATAGAGCTAGGAAGTGGTAGTCAGTATTTGAACCTGGCATTCCCGCTGTAGGACTTGTGCTCAGATAGGTCCTGTGTTGTACCAGAATAAATTATATTGATTAAATGCGATACATTTTACTATTTTATAAGACAATGCTACAATATCCTTATATAATAGGATTGGCAACTATATGAATTTAATAAAACCCAGGGCAGATCCTACACCCACCCCCATTGGCACACAGTCACACACACAATATCAGAACTATATATGATGTACCCTTTATTTAAAATTATGAGGCCATATAGCTTTATAATCAGAGTAATTTAAGAGCTCCCATTGTTTTTACATTGGCCTCTCCTTTTGATCATTTACAGAGAAAGGAAGAGAAACAGGAAACTGATGTATGTAGTAATGAATGAGCCACGGATTTCTCTTGGCAGGAGTTGATCCTGAGTTGATCTCCTGATTCAACTTTTTAAAGTTAAATTTGGAAAGTTTTGGGTTTGAACTTCCTGAGTGAAAATAGTATTGGTGAATTTGGATTGCCCTTCTATCATCAAGAGTGTTGTCCTGTATAGCATTTAGTGATGCTATGTATATGTAAATGTCTCCCCACTTCATGAGATCATGAACTTAGAATTAGTTACACTTCCTCTCCGAAAAACAGGGAAAAGTGAACTGACCTCTCTGCATCTCAATTCCTTCATCTGTAAAAAATAAAACCAGTGGCAGTTGTTATGAGAATTAATGAGATAATATACATGCAATGCTCCCACAGAGGCTGGTTCCTTACAGGTGTTAGCTATTCACTTAGCTCACAATGAACACAAAACAAAGGTAGCCTCTGAAGGAAAATTGGCACTTACAGGAGTTCTAAGTTTTAGTCTTCAAAATTGCCATTGATGTAATCCATCCTTGTTCTGAACATACTGAATGTACTAGTGGAAATTGATCACTCATGTCTGTGCAAACATGCAAAACTACAGAATGAAACTGACTCTAAAAAAAGTTGTGATTTGTGCAGTTGGAATGCAGAGAGAGCTAGGAGTACCAGTGGTCAAATTTTATAGTTGTTTATGTGCCCCTCCCAACATCTGCTCTAGCCTCTGCAAGAAGCTCTTGTTCTGTGTCTTCATTTGAGCCTGTCCAGGGACTTCAATATGGGAGGAACTAACAGTCCCACACCACTGGTTTCGTTTCCCAGTAGCCAAATGAAGCCAAGGAATTTTTGATGTCGTGACCTGAAAATACAGATTTTTTTTTGTTGTTGTTCCACTGATGTAGAGAGGCAGAGATAGGACAGAATTTTGTTTTTTGCATTTGTTTTAAATCAGTAAGTTGAATCTCTGGTTGACTCAATGGGCTGTTTCACAGTTATGTCTTGAGTTTCAAGCTGCTTTGTTCTGTTGGGGCAGGAAAAAGTGATAAGGAAAGAATTGTACCAGACTTCTTTGTGGAGTTAAGTCAATTCTTGATTTTCCCACATGATTAAATCCTACTTCATTAAGACTCCAAATGTTCTGTGATGTAGCAAAGGCTGAAATTCTGGGAAGGTAATCAGAGCTGTAGTTTGTTGTTGTTGTTGTTGTTGTTGTCGTTGTTGTGGTTTTTCAGGCAGGAATAATATCCAGGTATAAGAAAATGCCTGAAATCATTTATATAATAATATCAATATGGGTATATATGTATATATAAAAATGAAAGAACCTCAGCATAATTTGATGACCTTTTTTCACAAAGTAACTTCAGGTAGTTATTTATCACTTAACTACTTTAAAAATGTGTCTGGTACCTACTATGTACTAGATACTGTTCTGGCAGCTGGGTATACAGAGCCAAAAAGGTCCAATTCCTACCTTGCTCAGCCTTGTTGAATAGGTACATCCACAGATGTTCTCTAGGTTAAGTGCCTTGAGAGTAACTAGTCAGTGCACTTGGCATTGAGACTGCCAGTACTTGTCTCTTCCCTTAGACACAAGGTTCTCCTAGGACAGAACCCATGATAAGTTCCCCCATCAAATTCCCACCTCCTGCTTGGTGTTCGACTTATACCGAGAACTCCATTGTTCTTATTGTCTTGAATTTAGTGTGCTACATGTTCTTCTAAGTGTGTGGGCACAGCATCTTGAGAGTGAAGAAAAGGCTTCAAATTGGTCAGATTTAATACCTGTGTTTCCCACTGCAAATTAATTGTTTCTTAAAAGCAAAAACTAATTTTGTTTATGATGTCTCAGTTGAAAACTCTAGCATATTAAGTCTCCAAACACTAGCATATTAAGCCTCCAAAATTATCCAGAACTTGGCTAATTCTCAGAAGAAACAAATTATGTTTTAATGAAATGATTAAAATCCATATCTTAAAATTCCAAAAAAACTAATGTAAAGAAATCATATTTTCTAAATTAATATTAACTCAATATTAATATTTTACATTACTAAACTCAATAACTAAATAAATATTAACTCAACTGCCTTTTACATAGTCAGCAATTAAGCAACTTGGAAAGCTGAGTAAAAAAAATATATATATATTCTCTGTAATTGTACTACCTTAATATATGAAGTGTTTTCACTTTTCCACATCTGCTGTTAGTTCACATCCATACAATCTATACACATACATGAGTTTTATAGCTTTAAACATGGCAGTTTTGCATTTTTTGTTTCCAAATATTCATATGTCTGTTAGAGAATATAAACATCATTATAGGGTGAGGATTTCTAACCACCATTAAAAAAAGTAACTCATGAGCTATCCCATTGGGTGTGGACCCATGTCAGAGTTTCCCTCTTGCCCACAGGTACCTGATGGACACCTCCACCTGGTCCCAGTGCAGGGAGCCTAAGCACATTGTGGAGTGGAATGTAACTCTCTTCTCTATCCTCTTGGCTCTTGGTGGAATTGAATTCATCTTGTGTCTCATTCAAATAATAAATGGAGTGCTTGGAGGCATCTGTGGCTATTGCTGCTCTCGCCAACAGGTAAGAACCTATGTGACTATGTCCTGGCCTGGTCCTGGTATATTCCATTCCTAAGATGCACTGTTCTGTTTCATCAAAGAGAAAAGACAAACCCAAATCTGCTCAGGCTACCAGCACTTGTTCTTATAACACATCTGTGGCAATGCACCCAAGACATTTGCTCTCAATCCCAGACTTTCATGACCCTCATGGTCTCTGGGCCATGTTGGATTTCTGCGGTCAGCTCTATGTGCGCAGGAACATGCTGCCCATGGACACAGTGCCTGCTTTAGGGTCAAATCCATTGCTCCCTTTACTCGCTCTGCTCTGGTTGCAGAGACACAAAAGACATGTCTGGGCTACCCTCTCTTTGCTCGATCTCATGTTCCCAAATGGTACACGTGAGGAAGAGGCCACATTCATTACTCAACCCACTTTTCAGATGAAACTCTGATTCAGAGATTAAGTAATATGTCTAAGATGACCTAGTCAGGAAGTAACAGGCTTCAAACCCTTGGTCATCTTGAACCACAACTCTTGCTCTTAACCGGGTACTATGCTCACTGTCCTGTTGGATTTTATACCATTCCTTCCTAACAAGGAGTCACAAAAGTACATGAGCAGCCAAGTACTAGTAGCCTTTGAATAGCAGCTATAAAAAAACCTTTCATCATGAAAGAAAACCAGGAAGCACTTGTTTCCTGGGGATATGATTTAGGAGAGAAATATGCATTTCTTTGAAGCAGGGGAAAGTTCTTGTTTCTATATTCTCCTGAAAAATATATACCATTGAATTTATAAAAGTCAAGCTTTGGTCTAATTTTGGGGAGAGTTTCTTTTAGGTCCTAGTCTGTGAAATGGGATTCTGGTTAAACTGACCCTTATTTCATTTATATATTCCAAACCATTCTCTTCTATTTCCGGTTTGCTCAACTTTCTTTTAAAATAAGGCAAAAACCTAATTAAAACTGAAAGTTCATTGCAACCATGAAAACCTTGGTTGTAAATAAATGGAAACTTTCTATAATTTTTGAAGGGAAGTTAAAATAAAAATCTAGTTTTCCTTATCAGGCAAGCACAGTGGGACTAATAATTTCTTTGAGATCCTGCCAAATTTCCAGGAAAACAACCGAGTGGGAACCCTTTGGGTGTGGGCTGTGTTCAGGACACAACATCGGGGGCTGCAGAAAAGAATCCTCTTGGGACTTCTGATGGACCTTTCTTTAGCCTCGAATTTCACAAGGAAGCAGAGTTTAAAGTCAGTGAATCCTGGCACTGAGGACAGGCATAAGAAGTCAGTTGGTGGTTGTTTTGGCAGGAGGTGACATTTTCCCTAACTTAGGCAAAGACACTGGGTTTCCATCCTGCACTGTAGGAGTGGCTTCTCCCCAGACACTGCACCAGATCCCTTAGCTTGTAATTAGACAAAAATACTTTCAAAGCACAGGACTTTTGTGTAGAACAGTGGGTTGCTAACTTGGTAGCATTTAATTTGAAAGGCTACCTGTTGGAATAACTTTCATTTTACAGTTGCAGCTAGCAGCTATGAGCAGCTTGGAGTGCTTGAAGAATCTGATAGCAATGCCTACAGGATGGGGTGCTCTGCTGTAGCAAGCCGATAGTGAAACCACATCCTTAGCACTTATGGATAGCTTGCTAAACTGCCAGGCCAGGAAACTGATAGCCAGAAGCTTCAGGCATGAAACTCCTAACTTGGAAAACTACCCACACTGAGTTTTCAGTGGGAGACTCCCATGACATTATCTTCTAAATCCTTAAAAGGAGAGCCCCACACAAACCCCATGGTTTCCATGAGCACTTTCTGCAGCTTTACTGGGGAAGACAATGGGGCCTGTTTGTTTAGGAAACTTGTCATGGGCATTGACTACACCCTAGCAGGGGTTAGCTGAAGCTCCACTGAAGTTGAGATTATTGTTTTGTGTTTGCTCAAACAGGAATGTAAAGGAGAGAATTGCCATTGTTCATGTGCCCTGATCAGAAACTAATGCATCTTTCATTTTCTTTACAGCGATATGACTGCTGAAAGAACCACCCAGACAAACCACAGGCTTCCTCTATTTCATTGTAATTTATATATTTTACTTGTATTATTGTAAAACTTTGTACTAGTGTATCATACTCTGCATATTCTACTTTTATAAAGGTGTATAAAAACTGGCGTCTTCACATGACGTCAGTGTTTGAACTTAAACTTTTTTTTTTTTTAAATATGAAAATGAACTATGCTCTGGAGGTAACTTACAGACTGAGTGATAGTCCTCAGCATGTCTGAGGTTAAA